GATCACGCCACTGCACTCCAGCCTGGGCAACAGAGTGAGACTCCATCTCAAAACAAAACAAAACAAACAAAAATAATAATAATAATAAAGAAGGCAAGAGAAAACTTCAGGAGGTGATGGATATGTTCATGGCCATGATGGTGTTGAAGGTTTCATAGGTGTATATTTATCCCCAAACTCAACAAGATATATACCTTAAATATGTACAGCCTTTTACATGTCAATCATACCTCATTAAGGTGGTTTCTTAAAAAAAAAATCAATGAACTTCATATATGGATGAGAAGTTTCCTAGGTGGAATTGCAGGGTAAGAATACCAGGAGAGACAAAAACCATATAATCGTCTCAATAAATGCAGAAAAAGCATCTGATAAAAGTCTACATCCCTTCATGATAAAAACTCTCAACAAGTTATGCATACAAGTAATACACCTTAACATAATAAAGGCCATATATGACAACCCACAGCTAACATCATACTGAATGGGAGAAAGCTGAAAGCCTTTACTCTAAGAACTGGAACAAGACAAGGATGCCTGCCTTTACCAGTCGTATTCGACACAGTTCTATAAGTACTAACCAGAACAACCAGGTAAGAGAGAAATAAAAGGCCTCTAAATTGGAAAAGAAGGGGCCGGACGCAATAGCTCACACTTGTAATCCCAGCACTTTGGGAGCCCAAGGTGGCCAATCACTTAAAGTCAGGAGTTAAAGACCGGCCAACATGGTGAAACCCCATCTCTATTAAAAATACAAATATTAGCCAGGCATGGTGGCGGGCACCTGTAATCCCAGCTATTCAGGAGGCTGAGGAAGGAGATTCGCTTGAGCCCAGAAGGCAAAGATTGCAGCGAGCCAAGATCACACCCCTGCACTCCAGCCTGGGCATCAGAGCAGGACTCTGTCTCAAAATAAAATAAAACAATAGGCGGGGCACAGTGGCTCACGCCTGTAATCCCAGCACTTTGGGAGGCCAAGGCAGGTGGATCACGAGGTCAGGAGATCAAGACTATCCTGGCTAACACGGTGAAACCCCGTCTCTGCTAAAAGTACAAAAAAATTGGCTGGGAGCAGTGGGGGGCACCTGTAGTCCCAGCTACTCGGGAGGCTGAGGCAGGAGAATGGCGTGAACTCCAGAGGTGGAGCTTGCAGTGAGCGTTGATCGCGTCATGCACTCCAGCCTGGGCAACAGAGTGAGACTCTGTCTCAAAAAATAAAATTAATTAATTAAATAAAACAATAAAAAGAAATTGGAAAAGAAGTCAAATTGTCTCTCTTTGCAGACATGATCTTATGTATAGAAAAGCCTAAACAATCCACTAAAAAACTCCTAGAACTGATAGACAAATTCAGTGAAGTTGCAAGACACCAAAATCAACATATGAAAATCAGTAGTGTTTCTATACACCAATAATAAAATAGAAAAGAAATCAAGAAAGTGATCCCATTTACAAGAGTTACAAAAAATAAAGTCCCAAGGAATAAAAGTTAACTAAGGAAGTGAAGGACCTCTATAACAAAAACTACAAAACACTGATGAAGGTAATTGGAAAGGACACAACAAAATGGAAAGACATCCCATGCTCGTGAACTGGAAAAATTAATATGGTTAAAATGGCCATACTAGGGCTAGGCACAATGATTCATGCCTATAATCCCAGTGCTTTGGGAGGCCTAGGAGGGAGGATCACTTGAGCCTAGGAGTTCAAGACAAGCCTGAGCAACATAGTGAGACACAGCAAAAAAATTTTACAAATTAGGCGTGATGGTACACACCTTGTAGTCCAAGCTACTCAGGAGGCTGAGGCAGGAAGATCGCTTGAGCCCAGGAGTTCAAGGTTACAGTGAGCTATGACCGTACCCATGCACTCCGGCCTGGGCAACAGAGCGAGACTCTGCCTCAAAAATAGAAAATAAATAAAATTTAAAAATAAGAAATAAAATTAAATTTAAAAGGCTATACTACCCAAAGCAATCTACAGATTCAGTGCAATCCCTATCAAAATACCATGACATTCTTCACAAAAACAGAAAAGACAATCCTAAAATTTGTATAGAATCACAAAAGACTCCAAATAGCCAAAGCAATACTGAGCAAAAAGAATAGAGCTAGAGGCATGACCTGACTTCGAAACATACTACAGGGTGGGCAAGCTCATGCCTGTAATCCCAACACTTTTGGAGGCCAACGTGTGTGGATCACTTAAGCAGAGGAGTTTGAGACCAGCCTGGGCAACATGGAGAAACCCCATCTCTACCAAAAAAAAAAAAAAAAAAAAAAAAAATAGTAGCCAGGCATTGTGGCTACTCCAGAGGCTGAGGTGGGAGGATCACTTGAGTCTAGGAGGTGGAGGCTGCAGTGAGCTGAAATTACTCTTGCACTCCTGGGAGATAGAGCAAGACCCTGTCTCAAATATAAATATAAATATTATACACTACAAAGCTATAGTAACCAAGCAGCACGGTATTGGTATAAAAACAGACCCAGACCAACGGAAAAAATGGAGAACCCAGAAATCAATCTATGTACTCATCACAAACTGATTTTTTGACAAAGGCACCAAGAACTTACATTGGGGAAAGGACATCTTCTTTAATAAATGGTGCTGGGAAAACTGGATATTGATAATAAGAAGAAAAGTAGACTCCATCTGTCATCACATACAAAAATCAATTCAAAATAGATTAAAGACTTAAACGTAAGGCCTGAAACTATACTACTACTAGGAGAAAACCTAGGGGAAATGCTTCAGGACATGGGTCTAGGCAAAGATTTTATGGCTAAGACTGCAAAAACACAGGCAACAAAAACAAAAATAGACAAATAAGACTATATGAAACCAAAAACGTCTGCACTGCAAAGAAACAGTCAACAGAGTGAAGAGACAACCTGCAGAATAGGAGAAAATACTTGCAAATTATTCATCTAATAAGGGACTAATATCCAGAATATACAAGGAATACAAATGACTCAACCGCAAAAAACAAATAATAATATTAAGTGGGCAAAGGACATGAATAGACATTTCTCAAAAGAAAACAAACAAATGGCCAATAGGCATATGAAAAAATGCTCAGCTGGGCGCAGTGGCTCACACCTGTAGTCCCAACGCTTTGGGAGGCCAAGGAGGGAGGATCACAAGGTCAAGAGAATGAGGCCATCCTGGCCAACATGGTGAAACCCTGTCTCTACTAAAAATACAAAAATTAGCTGGGCATGGTGGCACGCACCTGTAGTCCCAGCTACTCGGGAGGCTGAGGCAGGAGAATTGCTTGAACCCAGGAGGCAGAGGTTGTAGTGAGCCAAGATCACACCACTGCACTCCAGCCTGGCGACAGAGCAGGACTCTGTCTCAAAAAAAAGAAAAGAAAAGCTCGACATCACTAATCATTAGGGAAATGCAAATTAAAACCACAATGAGATATCATCTCACCTCAGTTAGAATGGCTGTTATCAAAAAGACAAATGCTGGCGAGGATGTGCAGAAAAGGGAACTCTTATACACTGTTGGTGGGAATGTAAGTTAGTACAGCCATTATGGAAAGCAGTAGGGAGATTTCTCAAAAAACTAAAAATAGAACTACCACATGATTCAACAGTTCCATTACTGGGATAAATAACCCTAGAAATACTGATTCCTAGGAAATCAGTATCTGATTTCCTTTGGATACATAACCCAGTAGTGGGATTGCTGGATCATATGGTAGTCCTATTTTTAGTTTTTTTGTGAAGTCTCCATACTGCTTTCCATAATGCAAATCAGTATCCAAAGGAAAGGAGGGATATCTGCACGCCCTTGTTTATTGCAGCACTATTCCAAGAGCCAAGATATGGGATCAACCTAAGTGTCCATCAACAGATGAATGGAAAAAGAAAATGTGGTACCTATACACAATGGAATATATCCAGCCATAAAAAAATATGGAAGCCCTCTCATTTGCAGCAATATAGGTGGAACTGGAGGTCATTATGTTACGTGAAACAAGCCAGACACAAAAATATAAATTTCACATGCTCTCATTCATGTGGGAGCTAAAAAAAAAAAAAAAAATTAGAGAGTAGAATGATGGAATACTAGAGGCTGGGAAGGGGTGGAGGGATGGAGAGAGATTAATGGGTACAAACATACTATTTAATAGAAATAAGTTGAAATAAATAATAATAAGTTGATAGTACAGTAGGGTGACTATAGTTAACAATAATTTACTGTATATTTCAAAATAGCTAGAAGAGAAGACTTGAAATGTTTCCAAGACAAAGAAATGATAAACGTTTAGCCAGGCCCAGTGGCTCACACCTGTAATCCCAGCACTTTGGGAGTCCGAGGCAGGAGGATCACTGAGGTCAGGAGTTCGAGACCAACCTGGCCAACATGGTGAAACCCCATCTCTATTAAAAATATGAAAATTAGCTGGGCATGGTTGTGGGCACCTGTAAACCCAGCTACTCGGGAGGCTGAGGCAGGAGAATCGCCTGAACCCGGGAGGCAGAGGTTGCAGTGAGCTGAGATCACACCACTGCACTCCAGCCTTGGTGATGAGAGTGAAGCTCTGTCTCCAAAAAAAAAAAAAAGAAATAATGTTGAAGGTGATGGATACCCAGTTACACTGATTTGCTCATTACGCATTGTGTGCAAGAATCAAAATATCATATGTACCCTGTAAATATGTACAATTACTATGTATCAGTTAAAAAAAAGTTAATGAAGATGGTACCAGTATTATAGCCCCATTTAGCAGATGAAGAAACTGAGGCACTGAGACATGAATTAACACACCTGAAATCACAGAGTCCAGACTTGAACCCAGACTGTTCAGTTCCAGTCTCCCAGCCCTAGGTCATGACCTCAGGGTCATCCCCCTCCCCTGCCTCAATTTAGCCTTCACTGTGAACCCCAGCTGCAGCCTCACATCAGTGTGATTATTCACCGGGAGGGTAGCCTGGGGCCACTGAAGACCGGTTTGCTTTGAGCACTACTCTCCAATGAGGCTGGAAGCCCTTTGAGGGGCTGTTTCGTATTCACTGCAGGATGCACAGACCCCGCCCGGCTGGCGGAATCACCGTTTGTTGAGTGAATACTTGAACGTCTGTGCATGGCATGCATGTGCCTGCAATTTGCTCATCTTTACCACACACTTGGCTGCAATGGCTGTCACCTCCAGTAGGCCCCCTGCCAAGGACAGAGATCTCAGGGACAGTCAAGGAGACTGGAACTGCTCAGCTGGGGACAGGGAGCCTAGGGGGCCCTGGCAGGCCCCCAAGCCTCTCCTGGGTTGTCCTGGCCAATTCACAGGGAGGTTGACCCCAGCTCCCAGGAATAAAAGATTCTGACCTCTCCGTGGCAATGAGCCCCTGCCCCAGAGGTGTGCGGGAGATCCCTGGTTATCTGAGGTGTCTCCAGGGTATGTCCGCTGAAACCCCCCCTTCTCTTCACTGCCCACTGAGCCTGGGACCCGCTGCTGGTCACGTGCTTGGCCCTGTAGCATCGCTAGCCGTGCTCCCCAGTGTGCTCCCCGCCCCCTGCCGCGGAGCCTCCCGGCTCCCCTCCCCACCACACCTGCGGGCTGTGGCTCTCCGCGGGAGATCTCACCGTTCTGGAGACAGGGCTCGCCCTCTCTCATTGGAGACTGGAAGGACGGGCTGTCTGGGCCTTAGGAAAGGCCCATGCTGTATAAGGCATGGGGAAAGGAAAGGAAGAAAGGCAACGAACAAGGAGCGCTTCTAACTGCTGCTTCCTGCCAGCTGCAGGCCTCCCTTCCTAAGTTGGGCTAAGGTTTCCTCTCCATGGGCTGGGGAGGGGTCGCCAGTAGGCCTCAGCGGGTCCTCTTTGGCTCGGACAGCGGTTCTCACGAAGGGTCCTGGGCCGGCATCATCAGTTTCACCTGGGAACCGGTTAGAAAAGCAAATTCCCTCGGCCTCACCCAGACCCACGCCAAGGGCAGCTGTGGAGTGGGGCGCAGCGATGCGCACATTAGCAGCCCTCCAGGTGATTCTACCGCGCAGAGGAGGAAACAATGGGAGAAGGGAAGGGGAGAGGCAGGCGGCTTCTTTGCGGCTGATTGGACACCTGCCCTTCCCCTTCCAAGGCTTCTTAGCCCGGGCTTGGGCAGCAGCCCTCCGGCCAGCGGGGATGAGGTTGCGCTGCGCTCCGGGAGCGCCAATGGCGTGACTGGCCCCGCGCGAAGCAGCGACAGTAAGGCTGGGTGGGGGGAGCTGGGACCTAAGCCGCGCGCACACCCCTTTCTCTGCGCCTGGTGGAGGTGCACAGAGGCTTTTGAGTTAGGCCCAAGCGCAGCCAGGTGACCTCCCAGCGGACTTTCAAGCCTGGGCTCGGTGGACAGCTCCCTCTCGCGTGAGTCCCGCGGTCCTCTCCGCACCCGGCCGAGCCCCGGGCTGCGCGCCCCCCTGGGAGGTGGGTACTCGTCCTCCAGGAGTTGGCGGTGAGCCCTTGACCGTTGCGGGCGCTCTCCAGCCGCGAGCGACGCCTCAGTATCTGCCGATGCCTGCCGGCCTCTGGCATCCTCCAGTCGAGGGTCAGGGTCAGGGAGCAAGGCCTCACGCGGGCGCCCTCCTTGCAGCTGCCCGGCCACCCTGCTTCTCCGCCCGGAGCCATGAATCTCAGTAGCGCCAGCAGCACGGAGGAAAAGGCAGTGACGACCGTGCTCTGGGGTGAGTGGGAACTCAGGCTACTTCCCAGAGCCACGCACCACCTCCGGTGCGTGGCAGCTTGGGGCCCAGGTGAGCCCCTCCCTCGGGAACGAATAGAGGGCCCCACTTCCCTCCCTTTCTCCTCCGCAGGCTGCGAACTCAGTCAGGAGAGGCGGACTTGGACCTTCAGACCCCAGCTGGAGGGGAAGCAGAGCTGCAGGCTGTTGCTTCATACGGTCGGTGTTCCCAAAAGAGGGGAGGAGGAGGGAGTCCGGGGACTTTCTGGTCCCAACAGAGGACTATGGGTTTCTCCCGTCTGCCCTCAGGGTGATGAGGGGCCTCTGTCTATTTTCAAACCCACGCAGATTTGCTTGGGAGAGAAAGCCGAAGAAGAGATGCATCGCGTGGAGATCCTGCCCCCAGCAAACCAGGAGGACAAGAAGATGCAGCCGGTCACCATTGCCTCGCTCCAGGCCTCAGTCCTCCCCATGGTGGGCCTTTCCCTGCTGGCTGGAAAACTGCTCCCAGCCTCAGCCTCAGCCTCACCCTCACCCTCACCCTCACCTTGGGTGGGGATGGACACACACGAGCATGCATTCACCCTACAGAAGTGAGCCATGCCAGGGAGGTAGCACAGCCCATGCAGAAAGCTGGGGTCCAGCCCAGCTCACCCCTTCCTAGAGCTGTGTGACCTTAGGCAAGTTAAGCTGTCTGCAAAAATTACACTTTAAATCAGGGGTCCCCAACCACCGGGCCAAGGATCAGAATCCCTCTGTGGCCTGTTAGGAACCCGCGGCACAGCAGGAGGTGAGCAGCCAGCTAGCCAGCATTACCCCTGAGCCCCGCCTCCCGTCAGATCAGAGTGGCATTAGATTCTCAGAGGAGCATGAACCCTATTGTAAGCTGTGCGTGCGAGGGGTCTAGGTTGCGTGCTTCTTATAAGAATCGATTGCCTGATCTGAGGTGGAGCAGTTTCATCCCAAAACCACCCCCCACTCCCACCCCATCCATGCAGAAATTGTCTTCGAGGAAACCGTTCCCTGGTGCTAAAAAGGTTGGAGACTGCTGCTTTAAACGATTCACTGCTAGTAACAGGAACATGGTCGATCTACGTATTGGTTGTGTATCCAGAAATTCTGTAGTTTCTAATAATTTGTCTCAAGTTTTCTATGCATATAATAATTGAATAATGGCAGTTTTTTTCCTTTTTTTTTTTTTTTTTTTTGAGATGGAGTCTTACTCTGTCACCCAGGCTGGAGCGCAATGGTGCGATCTCAGCTCACCGCAACCTCTGCCTCCCAGGTTCAAGCAATTCTCCCGTCTCAGCCTCCCAAGTAGCTGGGATTACAGGCATGTGCCACTACGCCTGGCTAATTTTTGTATTTTTAGTAGAGATGGGGTTTTGCCATGTTGGTCAGGCTGGTCTCAAACTCCTGACCTCAGGTGATGTACCTGCCTTGGCCTCCCAAAGTGCTGGGATTACAGGCATGAGCCACCACACCCAGCCAAACTGTCTTTTATCCCATGCCCATATCTGATCTACCAGCAGTCCTGTCATCTCTGCCTCCATCTTATACCCCGATGGACCACATCTCATCCTCTTCCCTGCTACTCTGGTATAGGTGACAGTTGTCTGTGGCTCCATTCTAATTGCTGAGCCTTCCTACCATCACATGGTCCCCTGTAGTCTATTCCAGGGTAGGCAAACTAGAGGGCTTGAATCTAGCCCGTTGCCTGTTTTTGTAAGTAGTTTTACTGGGAACACAGCCACACTCATTCATTTGTACCCTGTCCATGGCTGCTTTTCCTCCGTAACAGCAGATTTGAGTAGTCTCCATGGAGACCATATGGTTTGCAAGCCTAAAATATTACCTTCTGGCTCTTTACAGAAAGTTTCCTGGTCTGTGCTCCACATAGTTGCCAAAAAGATCTTTTTTTTTTTTTTTTTTTTTTTTTTTTTTTTTTTTGAGACAGAGTCTCGCTCTGACACCCAGGCTGGAGTGCAGTGGCGCAATCTCAGCTCATTGCAACCTCCACCTCCCTAGTAGCTGGGACAACAGGAGCTCCCCACCACACCCGGCTGAGGTAGTGGTAGTGGTGGTGGTGGTGGTGGTGGTTGTTTTGTATTTTTAGTAGAGACGGGGTTTCACCATGTTGGCCAGGCTGGTCTTGAACTTCTGACCTGAAGTCATCCACTTGCCTTGGCCTCCCAAAGTGCTGGGATTACAGGCGTGAGCCACTGTGCCTGGCCAAAAAGATCCATTTAAACACAGGTCAGATCATGTGGCTTCTCCACGAGAACACTTAGGTCATGGCTCTCTCTCACTTGGAATAAGAGCCCAGAGTGTATTACGGCCTGCTGCGGAGCCTTTGTGTTCTGGCCTCAGCTACCTCTCTGTTTCAGATGTGTTTTATGTCTTATGTTCCAGGTATGTATCTTTTACACAGTATGTAGCTAGATTTTGTTCTAGCTGGCCAGTATAGTCTGTATTCATTGCAATTGCTGATGGAATTGGATTTGTGGCATGTACTTTGTACCCCTACTTTCTTTGCTTTTTTATTTTCTTCTCCTTTTCCTATAATTTATTAGATTAATTAAAGTTTCTTTTCCCCTTCTCACTGGTTTGGAAGTTATAGAATCTCATTCTAATTTTTTACTGGTTATCTTTAATTTTTTAACAATCATGCATGACTCAAAGTTTAAAATTAATGTTTTATTTCCTCCCAGACAATCCAAGGAGGTTTTCTGATTCTCCTCTTTTTATTTTTTTATTTTCGAAATGGAGTCTCACTCTTGTTGCCCAGACTAGATTGCAGTGGTACAATCTTGGCTCACTGCAACCTCCACCTCCGAGGTTCAGGTGATTCTCCTGCCTCAGCCTCCCGAGTAGCTGGGATTACAGGTATGCACCATGATGCCCAGCTAATTTTTGTGTTTTTAGTAGAGACAGGGTTTCACCATGTTGGCCAGGCTGGTCTTGAACTCCTGACCTCAGGTGATCTGCCTGCCTTGGCCTCCCAAAGTTCTGGGATTACAGGTGTGAACCACCACACCTGGCCTGATTCTCGTCTTTTTATTTATTTATTTATTTATTTATTTATTTATTTATTTATTTAAGATGGAGTCTTGCTCTGTCGCCCAGGCTAGAGTGCAGTGGCCGGATCTCAGCTCACTGCAAGCTCCGCCTCCCGGGTTTACGCCATTCTCCTGCCTCAGCCTCCCGAGTAGCTGGGACTACAGGCACCCGCCACCTCGCCTGGCTAGTTTTTTGTATTTTTTAGTAGAGACAGGGTTTCACCGTGTTAGCCAGGATGGTCTCCATCTCCTGACCTCATGATCCACCCATCTCGGCCTCCCAAAGTGCTGGGATTACAGGCTTGAGCCACCGCGCCCAGCCAATGATTCTCATCTTTTTAACTTCAATATTATTATCTAGTGTTCTAGCTCCAACTTGTCAACCTGCTCAACACTACTCATTACTAGTACTATTGTATTTTCCAGTTAATTCTTAGGTAGGTTTACTTTGTTTACCAATGAGTTTGGTTACCACTGCTTCTTGCACCCACTTCTTCCTTCTTGATTTATCTTTTTTAGAAACACACTTTAGTGAGCCTGAGAATAGTAAACTTACTCAGGCTTTGTCTGGAAATATCATGATTATGCCCTTATTCCTTCACGATGGTTTGACTGTGTATATAATTCTAGGTCGAGAGTTTCCTTCAGCTTTGAAGCTGTTCTATTCTGGTTCCCAATGTTGCTGTTGAAATCCTCAATCTGTCTGATTATTTCCTTTTTGGAGATGTCTTTCCTTTCTGGTTTATTTTAAGGTAATGTCTTTTGTTTTTATTTTATTTTTATTTATTTATTTTTTTTGAGACGGAGTCTCGCTCTGTCGCCCAGGCTGGAGTGCAGTGGCCGGATCTCGGCTCACTGCAAGCTCCGCCTCCCGGGTTCACGCCATTCTCCTGCCTCAGCCTCCCAAATAGCTGGAACTACAGGCGCCCGCCACCTCGCCCGGCTAGTTTTTTGTATTTTTTAGTAGAGATGGGGTTTCACCGTGTTAGCCAGGATGGTCTTGATCTCCTGACCTCGTGATCTGCCTGTCTCAGCCTCCCAAAGTGCTGGGATTCCAGGCTTGAGCCACCGCACCCGGTCGTTTTTATTTTCTATAGTTTTACCATGATATGTTAAGGTGTAGATTTATTTTTATTTATCTGTTCAGGACTTAGGTTTTCAGGTATGAGGATCTATGTCTTTGATCAATTCTGGAAAATTCTTGGTTGTTTTCCCTTTGAATATTGACTGTCTTCCAGTCTTTCGAGTTCCTTTTCCAATTAGATATATGTTGGGCCTTCTCACTCTGTCCCCCGTGTTAGCTTTTCTTTCATGTTTCTTTAACTCTCCCTCTGTGCCTTATACTTGGTAATTCCTTCACAGTATTGTTGATCATACTAATTCTGCTTCTGCTGCTTTATTCTGCTTTTTAATCATTTGTTGAGGTTTTCTTTTATTTTTGTTTTAAAAAAGACAAGGTCTTGCTCTGTTGCCCAGGTTGGAGTGCAATGGCCTGATCATGGCTCGCTGCAGCCTCAAACGCCTCGGCTCAAGTGATCCTCCCCTTCAGCCTCCTGAGTAGCTGGGACTACGGGCACAAGCCATCATGCCCGGCTATTATTATTTTGTTTTGTAGAGCTGGAGTCTCACTATGTTATCCAGACTGGTTTCTAAATTCTGACCTCAAGCGATCCTCCCACCTTGGCCTCTCAAAGCGCTGGGATTATAGGCATGAGTCACCACGCCCATCCTCAGCTTCCGGTTTTTTATATCTAGAAAGCTGCATTTGGTTCTTTTTCTTGTTCATAATGTCTTGTTCTTATTATAATGATTCCTACTTTTACATTTACTTGGTTTTAAACATATATATATACACACACACATATTTATGTATATACATGTTTTAGAGACAAGATCTTGCTCTGTCTCCCAGTCTGGAGTGCAGTGGTGCAATCATAGCTCACTGCAGTCTTGAACTCCTGAGTTCAAGCCATCTTTCTGCCTCAGCCTCCCGAGTAGCCTGGGCTACAGGCATGCATCACCACACCCAGCTTTATCTGATATTTTTTTAGATTGGGGTTCTAAGGTCTTGGTTGGGCTAGTCTGCAGTCACTTGATTTCTTTCTGTTGACTCTAGCTGGATTGTTTCTTGTATGTTTTGTAATTTTATACGGTGAGCTCATCTTCAGTTTATTTTGTTGTTTTCCAAAAGAATTCGATGTTGCCTGAGTTTGGAGAGTGTCCCAACAGAGTGGTTTCGTGTTTGCTTCTGCCATTTACCTCAGGAATATCATAAACTTGGGATTTTCTATACATTTCTTGGCTTGGCAGTACTCACTGAGTAAATTCAGACCCTGTAAGTGAGAGGCGCAGCTGTGGGTCGTGGGCTCTCACTGGAGGCTTCTTTTATTTCCATTCATGCTTCCTTGTTAGCTTCCTTTTATGGTGGCTAGGGTTTCGATTTTTCTTTTTCATTTTTGAGGGGAAGAGGGCTGGTGTGGGCTTTTTAGTCTGCAATCCTCAACACTTACCTTGGGCCTTTTACTAAGAGTATAGCCCTTGCGGGTTCTAGCCTCCCCATGGTGGTCTCAGCTGCAACTCTCCTTCTCGCCTGAGCCCGAGGCCTTGTCTCCTGTCTGTGAGGTTTTTTATGTTGCTTTGTTGTATTTTTTAAAGACAGAGTCTCGTTCTGTCGCCCAGGCTGGCATGCAGTGGCACAATCTCGGCTCACTGCAACCTCCGCTTCCTGGGTTCAAGCAGTTCTCCTGCCTCCGCCCCCTGAGTAGCTGGGATTACAGGTGTGCACCACCATACCTGGCTAATTTTTGTGTTTTTAGTAGAAACAGGGTTTCACCATATTGACCAGGTTGGTCTCAAACTTTTGACCTCAAGTTACCCGCCTGCCTCGGCCTTCCAAAGTGCTGGGATCATGGGCATGAGCCACCGTGCCCGGCCTGTGTGTGAGTTCTGAAGCGAAAAGTCCTGGCTGTTTTCAGGCCCATTTCCCCTCAGTTGCTGCACACCAGCTCCTGCACCCGCCTCTCATTTCTTTTTTCTTTTTTTTTTTTGGAGATAGAGTGTTGCTCTGTCGCCCAGGCTGGAGTGCAGTGGCGCGATCTCAGCTCACTGCAAGCCCTACCTCCCAGGTTCATGCCATTCTCCTGCCTCAGCCTCCCAAGTAGCTGGGACTACAGGTGCCCGTCACTACGCCTGGCTGATTTTTTGTATTTTTAGTAGAGACAGGGTTTCACCGTGTTAGCCAGGATGGTCTCAGTCTCCTGACCTCGCGATCCGTCCACCTCGGCCTCCCAAAGTGCTGGGATTACAGGTGTGAGCCACTTCGCCCAGCCAAAACCTTTATTATGTATATCCATACATTATGCATAAGACAAAAGTACCATACAGGCTCTTGTCATTTATAAGTGTGATGATTGGGGTTTCACACTTGTGCGTAAGATGTGCCTCCCACAAACCTGGTTACAAGTTGGCACATTACCTGTCCGATGTGAAAAAAGAAAGTAGTACTGTACATAAAAGCGTGAATCTGCTTTCTCATTTGATGAGTGTCTCAGTCTGCCCAAGTTGCTATAACAAAATACCACAGACTGGAAGGCTTTAGCAACAGACGTTTTCTCACAGTTCTGGAGGCTTGAGGTCTGAGATCAGGGGGCCGGCATGGTTGGGTTCTGGTAAGGGTCCTCTCCCTGAGTTGCAGATGGCAGCCTTCTTGCTATGTGTTCACATGTGGGGCAGGAGAGTGGAGAGAAAGAGAGTGAGTTCTCTAGTGTCTCTTACTGTAAAGGTACTAGTTCTATCATGAGGGTCCCGCCCTCATGACCCCAAACCTAATGACCTCCCAAGGCCCCCATTTCTAAATACTATCACGGTGGAGAATAGGGCTTCAACGTAGGAATTTGGAGGATGGGGGAACAGCTGTAATTTAGCCCATAGCAATCAGACTTCCTTATCGACAGCTGCCTTTCAGCTTGGAGGCCCATCTGTGAGCCTAGCAAGAACGGGATTACCAGGTTCAAATTCTTGGACAGAGCCCACCTCAGCAGGGGGTACAGGGCTGAGAACACAGTAAGGTCCACACAATCCATGAGTAGTGTGTAGAGTTTGGGGAGGGAAATCAACTCAGTATTTCTGCCTGAGGCCAGCCCCCGAGAGGTGCCAGGCCTAAGTGGCCCTCTCTTCTCTGCTTCCTCCCACTGCAGGTCACCATGGTAGGAGTGCAGCTTTCTCCCCCAGTTACTTTCCAGCTCCGGGCTGGCTCAGGACCGGTGTTCCTCTGTGGCCAGGAACGTTATGGTAAGTCAGAACCCGGGCTCAGGAAGGTCTGAGAGTACCGTGCCAGGCAGGGGCTCGAGATATACTAGCTCTTCAAACCCTGGAGGGATTCTTGAATTTTGGGAGAAAATCCCCAAAGGCAACATGACGACCAGCAGCCTGGACTGGAAGGCAAGGGCGCTGGTCCCTGTTCTTCTTTACCCGCTATGACCTCTGTAGCCTGCAGCCCCTCGCTTGTAAACTTCAAAGAGCAGTTGTGAAGAATAAATGGGATATTCAGGAAAAGTACTCAGCGTAATACCCGGTACTAGGGAGCCACTGTTGAGGATGTGGCTGCTGCACTGATGCAGACCACAGCAACGCAGACTGTAGCAACGCAGCATGATGCTGACTCCTTCAAGATCCCTTCAACTGGCCCTCTTTTCTGTATGATTATGCCTCATTCATAATTATGATTATGCTAAAAAGCCTTGGCAGGTCCCACTTCTCTTAGGATAAGGTTTCAGTTCATTAGCTATTTGCTTTAGATTCTTTCCCCTTCTCCCTCCTCTTCCTCCCCCACTCTGCCTACCTTTAGCCTTGGCCCCAGCCCTTGCCAATATGAATCCCCCTCCTACCCAGCCAGAGCCACTTCCCCTGCCCTCTTTCTACCACCCTAGCCCTCTGGAAGGCTTTCCTAGACCCCCTACCCTACCCTGGCCTCCACTGTCAAGAGGACCAGAAAGGGTGCCGCCCTATACAGGTAGCAGGCAGGTAACCACTGTTAACTCCAGACTAGGATTCCTCCAGGGCAGTGCTTGGAGCAGCACGCATCACAGAATGGGAGGTGGGCATCGAGATTCTGTTACTCTGAAGCTGTACCCCTGCCCCCTTTCCCATTGCTATCACAGAAGCATCAGACCTAACCTGGGAGGAGGAGGAGGAGGAAGAAGGGGAGGAGGAGGAAGAAGAGGAGGAAGATGATGAGGATGAGGATGCAGATATATCTCTGGAGGAGGAAAGCCCTGTCAAACAAGTCAAAAGGCTGGTGCCCCAGAAGCAGACGAGCGTGGCTAAGGTGGGGGAAGGAGTGTGGCTGTTTGGAAGGAAGTGGTGCCCCTACAGAAGCACCTCAGAGGGATGGGCCACCGGGAGCCTGGGCCAGCCTCCCAAGCTGAGTGTGCAGGATGGGCCAAGGCCACCTCGGCTAGTTCTGGCCAGGTGCTCAGCGGGAACCTTGTGGACCTTGGGAATCTGTTCTGGCTCTGGACTTTGTCCTAACTCTCCTAATAAACTGTTTTTTGGTTCCCAGAAAAAAAAGCTGGAAAAAGAACAAGAGGAAGCAAGGTAACTCTTCCTACCTGTTAAATTAGCTGAAATCTCTTAGCTGAGATATACAGTGTTAGAATACTGTGCTGTTGGCATGTACGCGTACAAATGTCCACACGGTGTATATACCTGCACATGCAGGCACACAGGTATGGAAGTTCTGGAGGGTGGCATCACCTTTCTGGAAAAGCATTACAACATACTTACCTTGGGACCTAATTCCACTGAAGGCAATTCCTTCCACAGAATTCCATCTAAAATTCAGGGGAAATTATCTGCACTAAGATATTTCTCATGGCTGGGCACAGTGGCTCGTGCCTGTAATCCCGGCACTTTGGGATGCCAAGGCAGGTGGATCACTTGAGATCAGGAGCTCGAGACTAGCCTGGTCAACATGATGAAACCCTGTGTTTACTAAAAATACAAAAATTAGCCAGGCCTGGTGGCGTGCCTGTAATTCCAACTACTCAGGAGGCTGAGGCATGAGAATTGCTTGAGCCCAGGGAAAAGTTGCAGTGAGCCGAAATTGTGCCACTGCACTCCAGCCTGGATGACACAACGAGACTCAATCTCAAAAAACAAAATTAAAAAAAGATGCTTATCATGGCATTATTCAAATGGTGAAAAAATGGAAGCATTCTAAATGTCTACCAATGTAACAATTGACTAAACTACATCTGTTTTCTCAATGGAATATTAATAATGCTTATGAAAAATATAGCAACCTGGAAAGTATGTGTATAGTTTTGGTTTGTTTGTTTAATGAGACAGGGTTTTGCTCTGCCACCCAAGCCGGAGTGGGATGGCACAATCATGGCTCACTGCAGCCTTAACTTCCTGGGCTCAAGTGATCCACCTCAGCTTTCCAAGTAGCTGGGACTATAGGCACGTGCCACTATGCATGGAGAATTTTTAAGTTTTGTGTAGAGACAGGGTCTTTCTTTGTTGCCCAGGCTGATCTCAAACTCCTGGCCTCACACAATCCTCCTGCCTCAGCCTCCCAAACCACTGGAATTACAAGTGTGAACTCTGCACCTGACAAGAGTATTGATAGTTCATATAGCAGGATATAAAGTCATTTTTATTTTATTTCACACATTTTTTTTTTAAGAGTTTGACCAGGCCAGGCATGGTGGCTCACACCTGTAATTCCAGCACTTTGGGAAGCCAAGGTGGGAGACTCACTTGAGGTCAGGAGTTCAAGACCAGCCTTGCCAACATAGCAAAACCCTGTCTCTACTGAAAATACAAAATTTAGCTGGGCGTGGTGGCACGTGCCTGTAATCTCAGCTACTCAGGAGGCTGAGGCAGGAGAATTACTTAAACCCGGAATGCGAAGGATGCAGTGAGCCAAGATCACACCACTGCACTCCAGCCTGGGCAACAGAGAAAAAGAAAAGTTTGACCAAAAAAAAATAATAACCCTGAAAGAAAATACACCAGAATGTTTAGTGTGGGCAGTAAAGAAAACTCTAAGTAATGTATTTTCTTGTCTATTTGCTATATTTTGTACAAAATGGTTAATATTTTATAATGAAAAAGACATCTGTGGGCCAGGTGTGGTGGTGCACACCTGCAGTCCCAGCTACTCAGGAGGCTGAGGCAGGAGGATCACTTGAGCCCAGGAGGCTACAGTGAGCTGTGATGGTGTCACTGTACTCTAGCCTGGGCAACAGAGCCAGACTCCATCTCAAAAACAAAACAAAACAAAAGACATTTGTGATAACCAAATGAAGATAGAAGCCTAAGGAAAACACATGTGCGTGTGCATGCACACACGCACACCCCTTTGTTTAAAGAGTCCGAGTGGTCCCCAGGAGGAGCAGCCAGGCTTGCTTTCCAGGGTGGGCACTGGGAGGGCCCCGCCACGGGTCTGGAGCAGAGCTCTCTCCCTGACCCCCATCCCACTCCTGCTCCACTCCACCCTGTTGCAGAGCCAGCGTTAGAGACAAGAGCCCTGTGAAAAAGGTGAGTAGGACCGGGGGCTGTGGTCCCTGAGACAGGCGGGTATTTTCTTGGGGGGCTGCCTGGTATGGAGAAGGGAATGGGACCCTGGAGCCCTGCCTTCCCTCCACAGGCCAAAGCCACAGCCAGACCCAAGAAGCCAGGATTCAAGAAATGAGGGCCACGCTTTGGGGGCCACACAGGGTGCCCCTGCCTGGCCCCTCCATCTGTGTCTGAATGTGACAGGGGTGTTGTAGGGGCAACATGAGAGCCCCTCACCCCCAACTCTCCGCTTTCAGGAGACCCCCAGTGAAGAGCCCCACCTCGGGGTCACAATAAAGTTGCCTAGTCAGGACTTCCCTTCTCTTCCCTGGAGCCGGCCTCCTTGTCCGCAGCGCCAGCCCAAGTGCCCGGCAGAGGGCAGTCTTGAACCAGTGCACCCGGGCCCTGAGGTCATACCCACCTCGCTGTACCCAGCCCCCGCGGCTTGAACCTGCTGTGTCCCTCCTCCTCGGCACCCCCAATTCTCCCCCAGTGGCAAGGGAAGAGCCTAGAATCTGCCTTCTGCTGAGCTGAGTGTCAGGTGTATTCGCAGCCCACACACTCCCTCTGGGCAGGGCTAGGTTTATAGGCACCCAAGGGCTACAGCTGCTCAAGCTACCAGAAAGGGCCTTGCCCTAGGGGGCCAGCCCCTATGGTCTTCTCCCGACCATACTCCTGTCAGGCAGCTACTGTGTGCAGAGCATCTCTAGGGACCTCAGGGACATCCATTCTTCCTGCTTGCTTCTGTTAGGGGCCAGCTCTTACAGAGACCTCCCACGTGTGAAGATCTGGGTCAGGCAGGAGCCAGAGGCCCGCGCCCTCAAGAAACCTTTGAGGTGGGATAGACGGGATGAGCTTTACAGAGGCACCAAGCCCCACATGCTATCAAGCAGGCCTCAGTCAAGCATAGGGGCGAGGTCAAGAGAGGACTGGAAAATGGGGTGGGGGACCCCCACCCTCTCCCCGGTGTGCAGAGGGGACTCTGGAGGGCTGTTCACCCGTGGGTGACACTGGCGCAGTCCCTGGAGCAGGCAAACACACAGATGGGCCCCCCACTCGGGGTTATCCATGTAGCGCCTCTGCTGGCTTCTCCCTGCCCCTCCCCAGCACCCTTGGGGGCCAGGCCTGAAGTGAACCAGTGGGGAGCTGGTCCTGCCATCCTGCCTAGGATCCCCAGGTATGGGGCCCAGGAGGTCGGAGCTCTTTGAACACCTGCCTGGGAAAGTCAACAGCCAGGCTGGGGCCTCCTGTGCAGCTATAGCTTCTCTTGAGACCAGAGACAGAGGTAGTAGAGGGCAGGGTGGTATTCATTTTTTTTATTTTTATTTTTTCATTTTTTTAGAGACAGGGTCTCACTCTGTCACCCAGGCTGGAGGGCAGTGGCACAGTCTTAGCTCACGGCAGCCTCGACCTCCTGGGCTCAAGCAATCCTCCCACCTCAGTCTCCCAAAGAGCTTGGAACTACAGGTGCGAGCCACCACACCACAATGAATTTTAAATTTTTTTGTAGAGACAGGGGGTCTTGTTATGTTGCCCAGGCTGGTCTCCAACTCCTGGGCTCAAGAGATCCTCCCGCCTCGGCCTCCCAAGTGCTGGGATTGCAGATGTGAGCCACCGCGCCCGCCCACGGTGGCATTCTCCCTGCATGTTTCCTACACCCATGAGGCAGATGTGGGTGCTGTCCCGCCCTCCAACAAACAGACAAGCCACTAACTTCAGGTCACCCAGAGTCCCACGCTCCAACAAGGGGACAAACCACTAACTTCAGTCGTCCAGAGAGTGACGAGGGGGACTGCTCCATGTGGGCAGCTGGTGCTTTTCGAACTTGGTTTCATCCACAGTGACCCGGGGTAGACAAACCCAGTTCCTCACCTTCAATTCACTTACAGTTTAGGGAAACAAAACTCAACACAATCATTTCAGTTACTGTCTGGTGCTTTGAAGGGAGTGGAACAGGTGAATTTGGGGGGCAGGGGGAAGCAGTTTGGCGAGAAGGTCTCCTGGAGGAGGCAATGGACAAGAAGGGGCCAATGGACTTCATAAGGAGCTGGCAGAGGACGTCCCTGGAAACAGGAGCAGAGCATGCAAAAGGTCCAAGGCAGACACCTACTTGAAGGGGGATCGCTGCAGTGACAGCTAATTAATACCCACGACCCACTCCTTTAATCCTCATAACTGTGCCTTAAGGGGATTGTGATTGGCTCCATTTCTTTTTTTTAATTTTTTTTAGAGACTGGGTCATACTCTGTCACCCAGGTTGGAGTGCAGTGGCGCAATCATGGCTTACTGCAGCCCAGAACTCTGGGTTCCACCTGTTTCCTCCCGCTTCAGCCCCCTCAAGTAGCTGGGAATACAGGGACGCACCACCACACCCAGCTCATTTTTTAACATTTTTGTAGAGACGGGGGTCTCACCATATGGCCCTGGCTGGTCTCAAACTCCTGACCTCAAGCTATCCTTCTACCTCTGCCGCCCAAAGTGCTGGGATTACAGGTGTCAGCCACCACACCTGGCCCAGCCCCATTTCTCAGATGAGGAAAGTGTGGCACAGAGAGGTTAGACAAGTTGCCCCAAGGTGACACAGCTGGCAGAGGAGCCAGGGAGTCCGGCCCCAGAGCCCTGGATTTTGACCACTCTGCTGATGGGAGGGAGGCATGAGCCGGTGCACAGTTTACGAAGTCTTGTAAACTGAGAGCAGGAGTTAGAAGTCAGTCAACCATGTAATGGTAGTCCTCAAGGGACAGCCAGGCCTCTCTACAGCCAAGCACGTATTTGGCCCCAAGCACATGAAGGCACGCAGCAGATAAACCAGTGATCACTTGATTTTGATTTGCAAGCAGGCAGTAGGAAATAAATTGCAAAGGTGGAGGCCGGGTGCTGTGGCTCAGGCCTGTAATCCCAGCACTTTGGGAGGCCGAGGTGGGTGGATCACCTGAGGTCGGGAGTTCGAGACCAGCCTGACCAACATGGAGAAACCCCGTCTCTATTAAAAATACAAAATTAGCCGGGCGTGGTGGTGGGCACCTGTAATCCCAGCTACTCGGGAGGCTGAGGCAGGAGAATCACTTGAACCTGGGAAACAGAGGTTACGGTGAGCTGAGATCATACCATTGCACTCCAGCCTGGACAACAAGAATGAAACTCCGGTCTCAAAAAAAAAAAAAAATTGCAAAAATTCCATCCTCCTTGCTAGAGCGCCCTTTGCCCTCTGCCCTTCGCCCTTCCCCTGCCCCAACGCTTCTGTTTTTCAGCAGGAAGAGGGTGGGCTGGGCTCAAGCAGGTGGTGGCAAGTGGCTGACCTGCAGGTGGGCTCTGTGTTTGCACCAGCTGGGCTGTTAGGAGAGGCAGGCGTGAGACAACCCCAGCTGGGGGGTGTTGAACT